GATCGATTGATATGTATTTTGTAGATTGAGGATGTGGTTCTCTATATTCAAGATTCCTCCTGATCTTCCAAGACAACCTTGAAATTCACCCTTTGCCTTATTGAAAGAAAGAATGTCACCAAACTGTCTGAAAATTGAACCATATACATTAGTAGAGATGTATAACATGATGGTAAAGTTTCATAAAGTGGTCATTTTCCAGAAATTCATCCGTGTCCATAGTTTATCAGATGGCATGTTAGAGTTGAAATCGTGAATATAAAAGTTAAAATAAACTTGATATTATATCTCTACTCATCGAATGGAGCATTTTCATGTATATATTGTTGATTGAAGTTGATAGAGTTGGTCTGACTTGTCTTTCTCTAAAGTCAACCATAATATATCAACATTTACCTTCCCATGGTACCATTTCTGATTTTTATGATATGAAATTGAATTCTACATCATTATATATCATCTACATCATGTTGGTAAAGTTTCAATAGGTGGTCCTTTTTCAAGATTTCCACCTTTTCATCATAGTAGACAATGTGTGATTGAGGGAAGAAATCTTTAAATATGAAAGTGAAAATTAATTTGATATTCGATGTTTACTCATCAAATGGAACATTTTCATGTCAGGATTTAATATGTTTTGATGAGAAACTAACAAGTTATTGTTGACCAATTGTACTTCACATCTTCCCTTTTCAATCTATACTTTTATATCTACAGACATGAACTTTTATAATTTGATATGAAAGTGATTATGAATATTGTTAATGATGATATACAAGGCAACACCAAGAACTTTTGCCATGGAAATATAAGCACCTTACTATTTTCGTAGACATTTAGGCTATTTTTTATCCTAAATATTTGTTGCCTGTTTTTCAAGCGAAAAAAGTACTAGTCTTCAAAAAATTGCCTACACTTTATTCCTTCCATTCATTCAGCATATGTCAAGCAGACTCCACAAGACCTACTTTTTCGTGGAATTGGAACAATTAACTGGCTGTAAATATTCACAAATAAAAATACTCAAAAGCAATAGCGAAAGAGCAACGGTACTACAATGTCTCTCGGAAGTTGTTGGGGATGAGGCTAATCAAAATGTTTCTGACTACGAGAAGAATAATAACAATAATATTCGCAATATTGTTGTTCGGGTGGTAAGGAGGGTTGATGAAGAGGAGGAACCAGAACAATACGAAGTTTTGGAGAGGGAGAGGAATGCTGCTCGGGTTGTATCTTTATTGAATCATCATCATATTGTTGAAATTTTGGGATTTTATGAAGGAGACAGTTATGTGTATACATTGATGCCGTTTTATGAAATTGGAGATTTGCAACAACTCTCTAAAAAGACAAATTTATCCGAAAACACAATTGCATTATTGACTTACCAGCTTTCTAAAGCTCTCCGAGCATTACATGCAGATCAAAATTCGAAAGTAGTGCATAGAGATATTGAATTGGATAATATATTTGTTGAAGAATATGATGAAAAAACTGGTAATGTGAAAATTAGATTAGCAGATTTTGAAATGTGCGAAGTTGTGGATAGTAGTAGAATTACTTGTACAAATATTGGCAGATTACATAACAATCCTCCCACTAATGAAGTTGGATCATCTTTGGATATTTGGTGTCTTGGTGTAATCATTTACAGACTTTTATCTGAAGATAAGACAACTGATTTCCATAGAGATTTCAAGACTCAACCAGAAATTGATAAATTCATCTTGAAAGCTTTCAATAAGAAATTACCCAATTCAGACCTAAAATGGGCTATAATAGCTTGTCTACAAATTGACAAACAAAAGAGAATTAGTTCTAGAATTTTGATGGAATACTTGTTAAGAATAATTCTTGTTGAAGACAAGTTTGATGAATCTACTAATCCCAATCTAGTAGCTATGAAATTAATTTATTGAATATAAGTCCGTCCGCAAAGTGACGCAAAGTAACGGAATATCGAAATCGTTACTACTTTCGAATAGCTTAAAAACAACACATTTACACCACAACTCGATAACTAGATAAGAACTATATACTTTTTTTAAAACTTTACTAAAAAAACCAACAAAATACCCAAAC